ATAAATAAGCAGCAGCTCCTGTGGTGAGTACGGGGAATCTTGCTTAACTTCATGCTCCATGGAAAGCTGCAAGATAAGGAGAGCTTGGCTCTGGGACACTGAGCAAGAGACTGGCTATGGGATTTTCTGATATCCTAAACCCCAATGTGATTAGCAAACGGATTAGGTCAGTGAAGCAAAACAGACGTGTGGATGTTTCATTAGTTTGTTCAGTTTGATGGGATCTGTGACCTGTTAATGAACAAAAAGACTGTTTCCCACCATTGAACTGGTTTTTCTCTGCACAGTGTTGTGGTTTGGCTGTAGCTGGCTATAAGGAGCAATACAAAAGAACTCAATTTCTTCATGGCTGCAGAAGGGTTAGCTGGTGTGCCATGTCCCTTATGGCCACCTGGGTAGGCAACCAAGCAGAAGGGGGGAGTAAGAAGTATGTGGTGGGATATTGGCTCTTCTTCCTCAAGGGCAGGATGGGAGGGGATTGAGGGAGGAGGGGCACTAGGCCAAGCTGTTCATACACAGTAGGTGTTCGAGCAAGGTAGAACAGGAGAGAAGCAAACATGACCGTGTGGCTTCCTTTGAGCTCCAAGGCTTACATGCTTTCCATAGTGTGTGACTTGCTCTGGTGCTATATAATCTCATTAGCCATGACTTTTGTTTATGCTGATTTGGTATCCTGTGGAAAGCAGTATCTGAACTGCCTTCTGTCAACTACTGGTAAAAATAATGCATCTTGTACTCCCTAGTGTAGTCTGTCTTGTAGCCTTGGAGTTATCAACCTGCTCAGTGAACTGAAACAGCCTCCTTCCAGTGGCAGAGCAGTTTCTTTTCACCCTGTTGCTGGTGCCACAGAATCTGCATGCATCCTTACATGTATAATTCGATTCACGTGCCTTGCTGCTGCATTTTGTTCCTGTATTTTGTTGAAAGATAAGGGGCATGCTTAAGCCAGCTTGAAGAAGTGGAGCTTCCCATAACTGTACAAAATTTGGTCAAATTTTGCTTTGACTCCAGTTGGACAGTGACCAAAGAGGCTGCACAGGTCAGATTTCTGCTTTTTCTTCAGTAGTGCCATAGATACTTTAAATTATGAGCTTTTACAATGTTAGCTATTAATCTAGGTTATTTGGTGCAAGCCAAGCATGTTACATTCAAAGTTGAGTTAGAGCCTAGTGAAATAAGGATTATAATGACCATTAGGCCTGGATAACTGACCGACTTCATTGTGGTTGTGGATGTGGCATTTGGAACAGTGAGATCTCACCTCTGAAGTGTTAGCTGGTCGGTGCTGCAAATGGGAAGCTATGGTTTTCTGGACATTTAAACATCAGGAAGTTGTCGGCCTTCATCCGGTTAATCCTGGTGCTCAGTACTGATGGCTCAGTAACTGCTCTGGATGAGCTGGAAAGGGGAGACTTGATTTAAAGATCCCTGTGCTAGGATATTGCCTCCAACTCCCATGCTGGGGTTAAGCCATCTTGTATCCTCTAGGAGGAGGAACGGAGCCTCCTCTCGATCCGCACAATCATCTGCTTTGTCTTACAGAATAGCACCGTACCTGCTGTCCCTTCAAGGCAAAACTGTCCGTGTTTTACGGCACTGGACTGTAGGAAGTATTTCAAAATAGCTGATGCTTGGTGGGGTGTAGGGATGGCAGCAGTGTAGCTTTCCCTAAGACTGCTTTGGGAAGCTGACCCATGCTCTAGAGAGCTCATTTAGTTAGAATCCCCATCTCAGCTTAATCTTGCAAACAGTTTGTGTTTTCACTCTGACATGCCTCCAGCATGCAGTTTTTGTTTATCTTGCGTGTGTTTGCGACGCATGCGATTAGACACAAAGCTGACATTTAGTATGTAAAGCTGGCAAAAGAAACAGAAGCTGTATTCAGATCAACAGTCAGAAATAGAATACAAGATGTTGTTAATGACACTTGTGCAAAGCAAACAAAACAACCCATAAGAACTGAGCTACCGCATACTGTGTGATGGCAACCAAATTCAGCGCTCAAGCTCGCTCAGCAGCAAACACTAACAAAAGGTATCCAGGAAAGAAATACCCCTGCCTGAGAAGTTCTGTAACATATCTTTCCTCTGAGGCTCCTTTTGCAGCTTGTTCACATCTCGTAAACTTCTATTTTAGGTGGGCAAGAGAAAATAAGAGATGATGTGACAATGCTCAAATAGCAATGAAATCGTGAGAGCAGGGGAACGCTGCTGCCTCTTTCTTTCCCTTCCTTCTGTTACCCCACGTGTCTAACGCTGAGAAGTGAAAATGCTTGTCATTTTTCCCCACAGAAGATGGATTTTGTTAGTGTCATTTTAGCCTCCTCTTAATAAACTGAGCCAAGTTGGGTATGGTGTAAAAGTAACATAAAACGCATTAGATGGATCAAGGAGAGAAGAATCCTCTGCAGAGCTGAGGCAGAAGTTGCTCGCCTGTTTTGGTCTCATCACTTTTTGGTCATTCTGGCTTACCCCAGAGCACAGGCATCACTGCTGGCCTTGATGTATCAAGTGAGATTGAAATTATCAAAGAGGAAGGGTGTGGAAGTTGTGCAGGAGAAAACATGCACTGCAGTTGGTGGATTTCCCTGCAGTACCTCTGTGCCATCTGTGTATTAATAGCACTCCACAAGTGCTTATGTGTTACAGCTAGAAAAAAATATGGTTTTAATGGTGTAGATGTTAATGAAGAAACTTGCTTGGCTCCAAAGGAATTTAACTGATCAGTAGAAACAGCATCAGGATCTTCATTTATCGCATCCTGTGGTTATAGATTGACTGAATCCACCCTAAAATAGAAGACTAATATAAATTGTTGGCTGTATGGGTTGTGATGGAGCTGTTGAGGGCATACTTAAACAAAGGCTTCCCTCTTGAGCTAATGGTGCAAATTACCCCTTGCCTAATCCTTTCCCATTTCCTTCACCAGAGCACATGCCTCTCCATACTGCCCCCTGTGTGCTGTGAGCCCAGAACTGGGACTTGGGAGAACCTGGGGCTCTGCTTGGAAGCAAGGCAGCTGCTAGTATCTGCTGGGCTGGTTAACAGCAGGTGGGGAGGAGCTGTGCTGAGCTGCAGCTTCTGTCTGTGGCTTGACCACTGGTACTGGTATGGCTCTTGAGTCTTACTTTTGATTATTGTTTTTTCGAATGACACTTGAGTGCCCTGCCATCCGCACTGCATTTGTGTTCGTAACAGCCCTGCAGCACAGGGGAATGCAAAGGACATCGTAAAGCATCCCTGTGTGTGTAAAGGAGCTTTGATGCAAAGATACTACATGCTGTCTATACCAAACTTCCAGGGATTCACTTCCAACTGCGGCATTCACAAGCCTGTTTGGGTGCCTGCATTCCTTGGGTGTCTGGGGTTGGAGTTGGACAGACACCAGTTTGGGTGACAAGGGGTATAAAAACCTGCTGTGATCACCTGAAAGAGGCGAGGTGGTTACTCACAGTGTGGCTGTTTGGTTACTTACTGCTGCCTGACACCTGTGTTTGGAGTGTGACTGAAATCTACGCTGTGGAGTGGGGCCCTGTATACATTATGTACACAGTTCCTCATCACCAGACTGAGGCATGTGGGTTTTCCTGTAGCGTAAGTAAACAGCAAGGATGTGTGCCAGCCCATGCCTTGCAGGTAGATCTGTGTGTTGTAACTTCCAAAATGAAAACAAAGTTTACCAAGGCTGCTTTGTGATTTCAGCTTAAGAAGGGAAAGGATGTTTTCAGAGGTGTTTTTATTTTCTTTATCTAGAAGTATGAAAAGACTTCTGATAACAGCACTTAATGCAGCAGAGCAAGAGAAGGGGGTTGAACTAGACAAATCTCTGCCAGGAACAAGTCCTTCAGACAGTTGTTACACCTGTGTGTTTTGCCTTGAAACATACTGGGTCCAAGGTGACTTTGTGAAGAGCTGCTGTAACCCAACGAACCTTCATAGGTGAGTGCCCTGGAGTGAAACATTCTGGCCTGTCTTTTGCCAGGAATGAAACCACAGGTTCGTAATGAGTCATCTTAGCATTGCAACTGATGAATACTGGCTGACTAAAAATACTGCTTTTTTGCTTTTGTTACTTTTGTTGGTTTGTTTTTCTTTCACCAGGCTAGGTGCATTCTCTGTGTATATGGCAACATAAACTTTTGTTGGCAAGCTTTCCACACATGGTTTTCTTTCTTTTAGGCAACTAATGTGGCTGAGCTATCCCATATGTGCAAGTATCTTGTGTCATTTGCATCTGCAACCAATCGCAGCTAATACATGTGTGTTTTACTTTGTACTGTGCACCATACTGACCGGGGAGCATCCATGTTGGGCAGCCTCAATGGATTCTTCACCTATGCTGATCCCCTGTCCTCTTTGAACAGGATGTTTTGCAGACCTGAGCTGAGACCTGTGCTCTCCTTTCTTGAGAGGCTCTTCCAAGCTTTCAGACTGTTGGGAGCAGGCAATGATGTTGGTTGTAGGTCTTCAGAGTTATTATTCTGGGTGTCCAGCATCAGCTGACTGTCCCTTCCCTGTGTCAGTTTTCTGCCTCCATCAAATTCTTCCTTGCTCTCTTGATGCAGTTCTTAATCTCAGTTACTGCAGCCCCGCATGTGTGGAGTGGCCTCAGACCAGCTACATCCCTCCACCTGCTTGCTGAGGGCTTGTCCTGGGGCCTTGTTTCTGAAATGATTCAGTTCAGAGTTGCATTTCAGTACTGTGGAAGTTTGTCAGGATGAATGTTGGATAAAGGAAGTGAAGGAAATGAGCAGTCAGTCTACATGGTCTTGCCTCTGCTTCATTATTAACACCCCCTCGAGGACTGCCAGGATGACTCTTGTCATTTTGCTCCTGCTCTTATCACAGTAGAGGTTTCCTACCAAGACTGAAATGCATCTTCAGCATCACTTACACTCCTCCAAGCCTTACAGCTTGTTTTATTAAATGAGGGCAGGACATTAGATTTATTCTCATTCTATGTTACACTGCTATTGAAATGCTACAAGTATTTATTCATAGGGTGAACATCCAGCAAGGCCACATGGCACCCTCGCTGGTGACAGGCTGCATCTGAATGGTCCTAGAGAAGAGTGCATAACCTTTGAGCACTGATGACCCAGTGAAACCTCTCCCATCATAAGGCTCCTCCTGCCAGGTAAGCCAGGTTGTCCACAGGACCCTGACATGAGTTTTGGCCACTGCTAACTGCGGTCACTGTTAATCTCTTTGTATTGTTTTCTTTCTCTTGGTTGTCACCATGTTTAAAACGTTTATTTCTGGATGGATCATCAGTTTAATAGCACACATGCTGGCAGCCAGAATGGGGGAGAGTGGTGGTATTTTGCTGATCAGTCAATTAGTCCATCTTCCAGCTTACAATGAAGAAAACAGTTGAGCACCTACAACAGGGATCTTACGTCAGCTGTGTGCTTTCAGGATCTTGTACCTTCAGGCTCTTGTGACTGACTTGACTTAATCATTTATGCACTGCTAAAGAGCCGCTTGCTGGTGCTTCCTGCTAATAATGCACGTTTGATTAGCAAAACTTCAGGCCGTCCTTTGTGTCAGAACATCTCCTTATACCCATGTGTGAAGTTCAGTGGCACATTTTGGGGAAACACATAGAAATCCTGCAGCAGCACTGTGGATACTGCACGTGACCGGGGTGGGAAACAGATGCTTTTATTTTAGTGGAAGTGTAATGATTTTACTTGTAGCTTGTACATAGCAAAGTATGTTGAGATTAAGAAATACCCTCTGGGGGTAGGTGGAGGGAAGGCATTCTTCCCTTCATTTCTTCTCTTAAGCCTTAACTGGTGCCTTGGAGTATGAAACGGCAGCTGAAATTCGGTGTGTTTGTGGTGACGAAAATCAAATGAACAAAAGTTCTCAACTTGGTGCTTAGCCATTGCAGAATTTCATACCATAGAAATCACACTGTCATGGATTGCAACTTGTCAGGAAGATTTTGTATACTGACTGCAACTGACCTCAGATATGGGACACATAAGACACTGAAAGGGTTTTGGTGGGGTGGTGAGGTTTATTTGTTGTTGTACATTAAAATAGCAGGAGTCAGAGGAAATATTAACCCATTTGTGTCAATTTCACCCTCAGCTGTCAAACACTAGGTGTGCTTGCTGCCTGGAAGAATGACACAGCCTTAGGAGAACTGCAAGGAGGCTAAAAAGGAGGAAAAGAAGAGCATGTGTTGGTTGGGAGGGCTTATGAAAATTCCCGCTAAGCAAATGCTTCAGTGATGAAAAAGAGGAGAGGTGCCTCTGCCTGTCCTCTCCTCCCCTTCCCGCTCAAGGAGTACTGGTGCTTTTTGCCTTTTAAATCTCACTAATGTTGCTGGGGCTTGAATTTGGCCTTTAAACTTCTAAAATCCTCTTTGGTGGTGTTCCCCTGTGAACAAGGCAATGGTTTCTTCCGTGCTTCACTTTTTAGCAATTGGGAATTCCCTGGTTGTGATCCCAGCTGGAACCAGTGCTATGCTTGGATGCTGCTGAAACCTGCACCACTGTACCTTGTGCACTTAGAGCCAGGTTTGAATGAAGCAGCAAAAGAAGAGAACGTGGGTTACTTTGTAATGGGGAATCCTAAACCACTCTGGGCTGGAAGTCATAGTGTATCATACCATGCACTGGAGAGGCACATGCTTGTTTGTACATAGACAGAGCACACCCCCTTTTTTTATTTTATTTTATTTCCTGAAGGACCCACACTCTGGCTTCTAGTTTGTTTGGCTCTGTTGCTATATTGTTACTTCCTTTCTTTTCCTTAGGAAATCCACGCACTTTCCTTGATGTAACTTTCTGTGCTTTGTGTTGATACATTTCCTATTCTGTTAGTTTCTTACCAATGACCTCAAATCTCCCCGTTTCCCAGGTGCTCCCTCACTGGGGCAATGGAATCACTGCCTCTCCTTTGCCAGCACAGAGGGTACTGGGATCCTGCCTTGAGGTCTGCAAGGACTGATGTCCCTCCAAAAGGTCCCTTCATCTTCTCTGCTACACATACAAGCAACAAGCTTCAGAAAAGAGAGCAGGTACTGACATGAGGAAACTTCTCATGTGTTGTATGCTCTTTCCAATGTATGTCAGCTCCTCAGGAATGCTCGCCAGGGGATATATTGGCTAGCTAGGGTTATCAGAATATAAACAGGGTGGTTTTTTTTTTTTGGCGGGGAAGGACAGGAACCTCATAAGGGAGAATAACAGCTTATACACATTTAGATTTCCAAGTAATTCTCCCCACTCCCTTTCTTGCCCCTTTTACAGGCAATGTAAGCCTTAAAACATCACAGCTTCTCTCCCCTGTAAAACAGTCTCATGTCCCTCAGTTCAGACACACTGACTGTATTTCCAGATCTGGTAAATGATGTATGTTTCAAGGCTTTTGATGTGGTTCAAATACAAAGGCTTCCCTTGAGGTATGGAGCACAAAGCTGTGTTGCCACACTAATACAGCAGTCACTGAATATTTATGACTTCAGAGCAATACATCTGCAGTATTTGTGGGAGTGTTTCTAACAGAAATAGGGGGTTTCCCCAGAGAACTGATAATTTCTTGAAAACGTTTAATCACCCCATTCAAAATAGAACCTTAATTAGCCTAAAGCTATATGTGGGATACAAACTTGCAAGTTCTGTCATTATTTTAAAATCCTAGAATTGTCTTTTTAGCTTATTTCTGTTTGTAACAGTTCTTGGCACAACAATCTGCTGAAATTGGAAAAATAATATGACCATCAAGGCTCTTAAAGTCTGAACATCAAACCCATTCCCCTCTTCCACATTTGGGCGTCACATTAACATGTCATGAAGTTTTATATAAAACACTTTCTGGTTCTAAGTAGCGTTCAGTTTTTCCTAACTAAAGTTTAAGTGTCTCCTAAGGCATGCAAAGCAGAGATTCAGCACTGCAGAGAGCTTGAGGGGCGGCTTGCTATGGTTTTGGTGCCTAAAGGTGTCTCTGAATAATGCACAACTAAGAGGTTAGTCAAGATTAAGATCTCTGCAGAGGCAGTTTTGACTAACAGCACATGAACCTGCTTTGTAAGAAAGCTTCTGAAAAGCTCACATAACTGGGGTGGGGGAAGTCTATTTAAGCTCCTACTTGCCTGAAAGATAAAATAATCTTTTATACCCTCTGAAGTCTGCAAATGAGATGTTTTTCCCTTCTTATTCATGAAGCAGAGGAAGTCATCTTGCATACTTTTGTCTTGTTACATGCTCACTTAAATTTTGGAGTACATTGCTGTGGGAATGCAGGCCATTATACTCATTAACCGTATTTATTCCTTTACTTTTGCTCTGTAAATGCAGTAGACTTGTTTTTGGGCATGCTCTGGTTATCACTTATCTTGGACAACTTGTTAAACAAAACACAACTTCCTTGTAACCGCCATTCTTGTAATCAGTTTAATGCATTAGTAGATACTTTGTACTGATTTACATAGCTTGACTTTAGAGATTAGCTTTGCTTTGAGTGCAATTATTTAAATTAGTATAGAAGTACAATTATTCCTAGGAAAAACAAATTTATATAAAAAGGTTATACAAAAATGTCTTAACAGAAAGTAAAACCTAACTCTTACGTATTATAACTTCATAATCATAGTAACTTTTCATGATCTTCCTCTTTGGTGCATAAATTTCACTTTTAAACAATCATCAAGCATTACGGAAAAACTGAAATGAGTTTAAAACTAGTTACCCAAAGCACACAATGTATCTTTATGTAAATCCTCTGCTGGCATCTTATAAAAATATTGGCAAAGAAATAAATGTAAAATTCGTTGCTGACTTTACAAAATGTCTTATTAATTTGCTTTAGTGATACTGGACTTCTTCCACAGTTGGCCCAGGTGAGAGATTCCAATATACTGGAAGCACAATGATGCTCAAATGGCCATTTCACAGCAGGTTGTGCTGGAGGCTGAGTGTTAGGATTTGGCTTAGAGATGTGTGGGATGCCAGGGCGAGGAAACTGAGGCGCAGCCGGCCTGCGAATCGCACTGTAAGAAATAATGCCTGTTATTCATGCTAGTTTACAATCAGATCAAACACTGTATTTATTGAATGCATGAGGGAATCAAACCCACAATCAACTCCTTCAGATCCACTAGCTGGATCTCAACTCCATTCTCCTTCTCCCCCCTGCCATAAGGAAAGTGTGATGACGTATGGGTAGGCTAGAGCACCACAGCTAAGAGCCTTGCACTGGTGTTGGAGGCTCTACTCTTTGGAGAGTCAGAATATTAGCAACAGAAATGTAGTTTTTGGATGTTTTAGCTGCATTTTTTTTGTCAATATCAATAAAACTCAATCTCATTTGAAAAATAGCAGTCTGTCTTCAGACAGACTTCGGGTCCAGTCCTCCTAAGTGGTATTCACAGCATTCTTGTGTACACCACTGAATGCATTTCATCACTTTTATAAAGAACACTGGAGTCTTAGGAGGAAAAAAAGTTAAAAACCAAAACCTAATTTCATGGTGTTGGGTTTGGAAGCACAGATTTCAGACATGAAGTTTGGTTTCTCAGAGGATTTCAGAACTTCACATTAAATGCGTGTTTTCCAGTGTGTGTGGGTAAATGAAATGTTCACTTTCCAACTCGGTTAATACAATCTGAAGCAATCCAAAAACAGAAAACAGCCAGAAAGCTCTGGAGAGGCCACACTTTGCAGAAGAGGAGAAACTCTGAGCTCGGTGTGGATAATTCACAAGCAGAACTGATTGACTGTGCTGCATAAATTGTATTCTGCTAATTCTCCCACATAACAATTGTCTAGAAATGACAGAGATCACCCATTCTGATCCCAGGGGTAATTCCCTCACCCCCTTGAATGATTCACCTCGCTTCAGCATCTGCAATTTATAAGCACCTCTGCTATTACCAAGCTTTTCATAATAGTTATCTCCAGCTTCAGAGCTTTTAAGACTCAATGCTTTTTTTCCCATTTATTGTAGGTGACTTCAGCTCCACTCAGGGCAACAGCTCTGTTAGGAAACCCCATGCAGAGGCTGAGCTGCCTTCTGAAGGAAGAGTGGTAATTTTTCATTTCAGGTCATGCGGTAGGACTAATTTTTTGTGGGTCTTAAGAGAACTCAACAAGAGCTTTGGAGGATAAGCAGCAGCAGAGGCGGTACCTACTGCTTTTTGGTGTGGGCGCTGTACTTGTGTGAGTAGGAGGGTAGCAGGCTTCAGAAATGAGACATGGCAACACAGCTCTCAGAAGGAGCAACTGCCTTCTCCTTTGCACGGGAGAAGGGTGGCAGGAAAGACCTCGCTGAGGATTGTCCATTTTACAGTGCCACAGAAGGAATGCTATAACAGTGGAACATGGCATTCCCACCACTTGGAAAAGTTGGAGAGGCAAATTGGTTCAAAGTAACTTATCTAACAAGGCCTTTAAGAATTACATTTGTGTTCAGGAATAAGTTGCATTATTTTGTTACTATGAACAAATATTACTTAATCTCTTTTATAATTCTCATAATGCAAAATTACAAATAATACTGATATCTAAAAGGATAAACTTTAATTTTGAAACTTTCAGGTCCTAAACTCATCTGAAGGAAAGGAAACTGGAGAAGAAAATCTGACTTCTGGAGCTGCTTAGCACAGACTGTTCTTGCAGAGATCAATAAACTGAAGGAATCTGGGGCCTAAGAAAACCAAGGGTCAGAAAACTGGTTAAAGTTCTCAATGAGAAGATTCGCAGGTATGTTAACAGAATGCAGACATCCTTGTTCTGCACCTTAAACTTTTAATGGCAACCATCCTTGCATGCATAAGAAGGTTGCATGACTCCTTCATTTTCAGAGGAATGAGCAAAAAATAAGAAACTTTCCAGGTCATTATTTTGCTGCCTATTCTTAGAATGAATGCAAGATAATTCATGAGGTCTGCAACCTCAGATGTTTATCTAAGTTCAGTTCCTGGTCAGTTTGTTCTTGGTACAGATGTTGAAAGCTGAACTGATTAAAAAACCCACAAAAAACCAACCCCTAATCCCCCTCAGCCCAATGAATGCTATAAACCAGATTTATTTACTTTTATCTCCTAGCAGCAACTCTAATGATCAAGTTTCACTGAAAGGCAGACCGACAGTTTTACAACTGCTATGAGATATCCATGGAAGCACACAGGTAGCAAATGGTAATTAAACTCACAGCTATTAAAGATCTCATTAGATGCCCAAACCCAAGAAACTCATAATCATTAACACAACCATCAGAAAATTCTGCTCTTTGTGGAGACAGTATCATCACCTCTAAGTTTGCCAGCACTTAAATGACCACTGGTCTCTTGGTTAATCAACATTTCTGGACACATTTATGCCTTTAACTTTGTTTTGATATTCAAGATGTTTGATACCACATATGGGATCAGTGTGTAGGGACGCACTCTAATAAATACAGCTTTTGGTTGTATAAACTCTATTAGGTGTGATAATGGGAATTCTCTTCAGCTACATCCACAAGTCAGGTGTTTAACTGCTGGCAAGTCTGCCTTGCAGTAACAAGAGTAAGTTGACACCTGACAAAGAAATCAGTTCCAGTATAAACCAGGATGTAGGATGGTTATGGTTTATCTTGTGAAATCAGACCTCTGAGCTGCAGTGCCATTCTCTTGTAACACAAACACACTCTGATGGAAAATACTTTCATGAGGGTCAGTTTCCATGATGTCTGTGTGTTCATACACATGCTCTTACCTCTGTTAGTTAGGCATCTGCTCCTTGTCTGTTGGGCTCCTAGTTGGAGACTAAAAAGAAACAGATGCAATTAGTAGTCACGTATATCAATGATAAATTGGGCCAGTACAGAATGTTTTTCACAGTTGAATAATCCACAAAATACAGACTTATGATGAGTCCCTTCTTATGTGTTTTGCTTCAAATGTGACTACAACACCCATCCCTGGGAGCAAGGGAACAAGAGACATCCATAAAAATAGGCAGGTGTTGTGTGGGAGAATGACAGGAGGTGGATTTTGTACAAATCTTCCTTCTAACAGCATAGCTGCTCTCTGTTGGTGACAGTTGTTAGGAGAGGCTGAAGGGAATGTGGATATTCAGTTGTCTTGGTGAACTCCTCAGTCAACAGTTTGTGGGCTGGTCTTGTGAAGACCTGACTTGGTAACAAATGGGCAGGAAACTGCTTTTTATTTTCTTGACTTTAAATTTGAGCATCACGTGAAGCTACAAAATACTTAAGAAACTGGAAATAAGCCAGGCTAAAGATGTAGCTTCATAATTCTTGTGCCACTATGGTAAGCTACCAACAAACGAGTATTTTCAAGACTGGAAGTCCTGACTGAAATGCGAACTTTTGAAGTCATGAAGAAAAAAACATTTTTTTCTATGACTCCTTAACTCTCCACACATACAAAAGCTTGCTCATGCTTCAGGATTTCAAGTTATTCCAATTTTGCTAACTGGGTTGAGTTAAAGAAGTTTGAGTTCCCATGGGCCCAAATGTCAAAATTAGGGTCTGGTTTTGTTCATCTGCCTAATGACCCATCAAGACGCAATGCGTACTGGTTAATGTCCTCAAAATTTAGTTTTCAGGGAGCTCTACTTAGATGCTACCTGCAAGCTGGAGTGGCATCAACTGATGAATAAGCAATCTGTTGGCAGCTTGGACTAAAAACAAGGTGCTGATGAGGTCTGAGGAATGAGCCAGACATTTAGCACAGCAAATGTAATCAATAACCTGCCAGTTTCTGAAAGGTGCATAGTACTCTTTCGAGTGATTTTTTTTGCATGAAGCCGAGGAAGAGATTTGGCTTTCAGCAGCTGCTTGAGCAAACTATTAAACCAAATCTGCTTTGTCATAGGCATGTACAGATCTAGAAATTGGTATCTGGAAGAAGAAAGTCTGTGGAGTATGCCATTACTGCAGTGGATGACCTCAATGTACAGTGCCTCACAGAAGTGGGTCTGTAGCAACAGACAGTGAAGCTGTCCTTCTTGGATGTGCAGTGTAAGTTCTTCAGTGTAAGTACCTACTGATGCTAACAGCTACAAAATAAATGGTTTAAGTTGAGTTCCCTGTGGAAAAAGCTTTTGACCTTTCCATGTCAGGCCACCTACCTCCAGGTCTTGCCAAAGATCCCAAGACTGGAACGTATGCAAAGACCAAATTGCTCATTTGCCCTATGCGTATATTTGTCACTGGGGGATTACTAAGCACCTGACGTGTTTCCCAACACCTACCTTCACTTAAAACTATTATGTAAGTTCACACTGAAATAATAACAATTAAAAATTCAAGCTTAGCATTTGCTTAATGCAGTACTGGTTTTCTGAAGTCCATCTGAGTTGTAGTTTGTTTTCTGTGGCCTCTATCTTGCTCATTACCCAGCAGTGAAATAGTGACAGCTACTACTCAGTTCTTGCTGCAATGCTGAGTGGACAAAAGAGTATCAGTCATTCCTGGTTTTGATGAGGAATCTTACACTATACTAGCTGTATCCCTAAAGACTAAGTTCATGGTTCTACAGGGATTAGCTCTAAGGGGAAAACTAACTACAAGCAATTCAAACACTCTTATGTAGGTTCTGCAATCTTGTGCTTATTTTTAGATGCTGGATGACTAAATCTGTGGGATGCGGCACATAAGGTGCCATAATGTAACTGCAATAGAAGGCAGATTTTGAAATCTCATTTTCAGAAACAGCTAAATGAGTTTCATGTAGGTAATTCAAGTGTCCAAAGATGTAGACAGGCATCATGCAGGTTTTGTTAAAATTCCTATGAGCTACAAAGTATGCACATGGAATGCTGCATTGTCCTTAAGACTTTGAAGGAAATATGTCTAGTCATCCTTACATAAATGTTGTCTTAAGCTGCTGCCATTCATTCTGCTAGTGGACATGCACAAACCCAGAAGACTCTCAAGCTTTATCTCCTCTTTAAGGGTACAGGCAAGGAATCAGTTACACAGGGTAAGCTGAGGCCTAACCATATTTGTATGCTCATGCTCATTTTTTGGTGGTGGTTGTTCTGTCGGCTGACATTTTACTTCCCTTAGAAAAAAGATATTAGTGGTGTCTATGGGCAAGACCACATCTATATTATATAGTAATGAGAGATATCACAGTCTGTGCCTGCACTTTCTGCAAATGAACATTCTATATGCTTAGTCCTTATTTAGTTGTTCTTAAAGTAGGTGTTTACAGATATTTCTCTCTAAGAGTGACAGAGATTTTTGCTTTGCAGCTGACTGGCTTTTTGAGGGTGTTATTCAGCCCTATATTAAACTGTTCCAAAATGAGACATGAACTTCAAGATAGCATCAAATGGTGTAATGGAGGACTGAACTGAGTGCTGTTCCCATTAATAACTTTCATTACATGGAAGCAAGATCAAACTTATCAAGAAACTAAAAATTATATTCCATTCTAATTTATAGCAGATATTTTCTTTTCTCATTAGAATAAAACCAAATTCTTTTTCTAATAGGATTTTGTTATGATCTCTATAAATCTTCAATCAAGTCTTCAGAAACCATCTATGAAAAAAGACTATCCAAATGCCAACTGCAAACATGGAATGGGGAGAAGGAGGCCCATGGGTTTAAAAGGAGGGAGTGTCTGCATGCAGATGTGAAAACCAGAATTCATTAAACAAACCTGAGGATTGCTAACATTCATACATACCGCTTTATTAAATGGCATGTGGAACAACAAGTCTCTGAAATGAATGCTCTTTGGTCTGCTTTCCTTAGGAACTATGAAAGGGAAAAGAAAGTAACTGTCATTTCTGGCAATTTATTTCTATCTGGACTTAGGTAATGGTCTTCTGCTATCCTTCCTTACTCTTGCTGTCAATATGCTGTTGAGAAAGGTTCCATCTTTTGGAAGTTCTTATTTTCAAGAATTTATTATCCAAGATTTAAAGTGCACTGTTGGACAAAACAGGCCTCCATAACAATTCTTCCTATCGTATTGCTGCAGTGCTCATCTGCTGATTTATATGCATCAGAGAATGTAAGACAGTGCAGCAAAGGGCAGAGAGGTTAGGAACATCATGATCATTATCTGAGTTACTGGATAATTTCACAAAATTTACAATTCTGGTGTTGATACTACATTTGTGCTGGTATGATTCAATAACCAAACTCTGGAGGACAGCTGCAGAGGCAGAATCGATGTGGCCATAAAAGAAAACCCTACAGACAAATAGTTTCTGAGCATCATCCTCATGTCCTCATTAGCTTTGCCTCACCTATAGAAAACAGAGGGTAGGAACAAATGCAGTAAACCCAGGCCCTCAGGCTCTGAGCACTTTGTGAAGGCTTCTGGAGTGAACCTGCTCAGAATGCTGTACCCCTACTGACCACAGAGGACATTAAACTGAAATACAAAGTTTGGACTGGAACTCTGCCACTGAGGCAGCAAGAGTTCCCCTTAATTACAGTATCTATCTCACAAATCCACATAAACACAACACTGTTCAACAAAATAATGGAAGCACTACTGTGGACTGGTTTTCGGTCTTGCAGGAAGGAAATAAATAATATATTTAGGTGCTAATTTTAAATAGTGATATACAAGCAATACTAAACTGCCCTTCCACCAACATGCATGTACTGAAGTTTGCTGAAATGATTTCTGAAGTCAATACCATCCAATACAATCTTTTCATAACAACAAGAAAAAATATTTTGCAGGAAACACTGGTGATTTATACTGCTTCAGGTGACATTCAATAATAAAGGGAAAAAAAGCATAACAAATGACCAGTGTACAGGTTTTAGTAATGACTTCCAATACTGAATGGCTGTAACAGTGGAAAGTTCATCAAGAATTTGCAAGTGCAAATTGATAGCTGATTTACAAATAAAATATTGAAGTCGTCAAGTAAATTGTTCTAAAGAAATCATCTACCCTAATTGTGTTAAGCAGTAGGAAATGGGCTACAGAAAAGCTGAGCCACAACTTGGTAACTCTCACTGAGCTCATCTTTGGGATGAAATCTTGACCCTGCTGAAGGCCTGATTACACTAAAATATGATGCAGAAAATGCTTATTACAAATTCAGTGCCTGATCCAAAAGCCTGCTCATGCTTTGGATCAGACATTTGCAGTACACTTAACGGTTTAAGGCTACAGCATTCCAAAAGGCACAGAAAGTGCAACTCACCATTTCGATTTTCCTTTTCTAGTCTGTTTCCAACAATGCTGTCTCTAAGGTGGTGTGCTTTTTCCTGTAAGTAGAAAACAAGCATAAAACCAGCAGCAGAAATCAGTAACGGAAGTTTACTGCAGCAATAATGAGTTACTACACAAAGCCGGATGCTTTAGCATTCTGAACACCAAGCTTCTCTCTCCAGGAAAACAATTTTAAAAGACTGAAAAATGTCTATGATGCACTTGTAAGTAGATGCTAATTTTAGCATTTATACCTAAGAGTCTTGTGGAGCTTTTTCTCCATCAGTAAGTTACGCTGATTCTGGCATTACATTACAGAGGCTTGGGGTTTATGTTTTGCTTCGGCCAAGTGATTTTCCCTCAAAAATCCCAGTGAATACCAGATAACTACAGTGACAGCATGAACTAAATTCCTAATATTCATACTGAGGTAAGTGAAAGACTTTCCTCTGGTACAAACCCAAAGAAGTCACACATGCAGCACAGAGTATAAATCACCACTGAAAAATAGCTTTTCCCCTGAAGCAGTGAAAACAGGCCAAGTAAATCCTTCTTGAAATACAGGCATCTTCTAGCTAACCAAGAAAAAAAAAGAGACTTATGACTTAGTGCTGCTCTCTTTGCACAGATTAGATATTGTCTTCCTCCACAAGTAATTCCCTCGCAGAGCAGAACCAGCAATTCCCATCTGGGGTGTGGGCCACAGACATATTCAGAAGGGGCACAAAGCACACTGACAGTGCTGCTCAATGGCTAGTGCTGTGCTGCTGGTACCCTCCCTGTGAACTCGGCTCCCAGACTGTCCCAAGGCCCTCGAGCTTTTGCTGTTAAGTGTTCCACTGTGATGACAAAACTCATACTATTTCTTCAGTAAAAGCAAACACAAAGAGCATTTAATCTCTCTCCTTGTTGGCAGCATTTGGTAGCTCTCCCACTCTGTTGAGTACCTTTGGTTTTCCTCTTTCTACTAAATGCACTTACAGGACAACAGGAAAATACTTTTGTTAATGCATGACCTCTTATAAAATGAGGGCATAACCTCTTCCTCCAGCTGCCTTGTTACAAGTAATTAGCAAACCTCCTCATTGTGCTTTTCTCTTTTGCTTGGAGCTTTGATGCAGTTCTTTCAGTGACTCAGTGTGTAGGCTTTTGTAAATCCTGTTTTTTTGTGCACCTCAATTTTCTCCATACATTGAATATAAAGGAGCTGAAGAGGACTGCTAAGAATTGTGAATTTTACTAGGTAGATTCAACACTTGCAGATAGGCATAAAGCCTGATGTAAGTCTATATATATTAACAATGCATGCTTGATGTAGTTAGGTTTCTGTTAGCTGACACTGTTCAATAGCTCAGTTGGTTTGTTCAGCTACCAAAGGTTTGTGGTTTCATAAAAGATGCATAGACACAGCAGTTTAAAACAGAAGTCTCAGAAGACCAATATATTTAACTCAGGATTTTAACTGAATGCAACAGCACCTGAAGTCAGGCAAAATAAATTCAGGAAGCCTCTCAAGTAATCAAACAACAATGGAAACAGGCATCTAGAAGATTCAGAATGATAAGCAGCAAATTCCTTGGGAGCTGATAGATACATAAATCATGACTTAGTTTTGACCTCATATGTGGCAGCCAGAAGACTAGGGCTTGTTTTTGGAACTTCTGATCCAGATTCTTCTCAAGAAACATAAATTTCAGACTCATACCTGTTGAGAGGACTGCAGTCTCTGTTTTTCCTTCTGCCACTGTTGAAATCTGTCAAGGGTTTCATACACAGAAGTTGTTCCGTTTTCCACCTGTTCCTGCAAGTGGATGAGTTCTTCCTGTTCAGTAGGGATGCTGTGTTGCACAGTGCTATCAGTTACTGTGTCAGCATGACCTCTGTGTGCTACACAGTGCAGTAAAGGTAAAAGTAGAAAATATTATTAGCTCATTTCATTCCTTTATGATGCAATCACTTTTTTCAAAGGCATGCAAAGAGTAATTCTCTAATCTGACATCAATTAAAACCACACTGTCTTTAGAGTGCCCCCTCCCCTTTCTTCTGTTTGGTTGTAAGGTTTTTTGGGAGGGGGTTGTTTTTTTCCTCTTCCAATGAGAGAAATGCAACAAATCAATAAGGATTCTACCATTACTCCTTAGTAGCAGAGTAGCATCTTAAACATTTCATTTATTACTATTGCCCTGACCCATGGATTCTCTATTAGTATCAGTTCATACAAGAATTTTTCTAACACTAAAACTATAGTACTGACATTTTAAAGGCAATTGTTGCTCTGTTAAGACAAAAAATATTCACAGCGCCTTTTTTCCCTTCCTTCTTCAACTTCACACATTACATCTCTCAAAAGCTGGGGCTGAAATCTGGCCAGAAAGCATTTTGGAATTTCACATGATTTCCTTCCCCCACGTCATTAAATACCTTGCAGTGACAAGGAAACACAACAACCTGGTCCTCCTACAGGTTATGACACAGGTGCACAGCCAAAGGGAAATGACAAGGAGACATGTTACCACAGCTTGGTCCAGGGAGGTGCAGCACCACATGTCTCCGTGATACTGATACTGAAATGACCCATCCAGAACAAGTGAGAAGCTGTGAAATAGGGCTCTGCCAGCCCTGTATGAGGCTGGTGCAAAGCACCTGTTTCACTGCACAGCGAATGCAACCAGGATTAAACTATAAGTATGACCTGCGTTAATCTTTCTGCTGTGTCATGCACCAATATATACTTTGAGTGAGGAAGGACTATGAGAAGGGAAATACACTAAAGAAGTAAACAAACAACCACCTACTGTAGTTTCTCCTGCTCCTTCCTTTTGATCATACTAGCACACGTTAGGCATGAATCTCTACTCTTTTGCATCTCAGCTAGTTGATTCTATTTTGACACACTAATGACCCTAATGCCTTGCATCTGATATGATTATTTAGAGATCAGACCAGTTTAGGTAAAATTGCTTTTTTTTGTAACAGAAAAAGGTGTGTGGGTGTATTTCTTCAGACCCATAAAAATTACTCTGTTTATCATGGAACCATAGAATGGCTTGTGTTGAAAGGGACTTGTAAAAGCCATTTAAAGCTTAAAGCCATTCCCCCTTGTTCTATCTCTACTTGCCCTGGCAAAAAGTCCCTCTCCAGATTTCTTGTAGGCCCCCTTTAGGCACTGGAAGCTGCTCTAAGGTCTCCCCTGAGCCTTCTCTTCTTGCTGAACAAGCCCAGCTCTCACAGCCTGTCTTCACAGGAGAGGTGCTCCAGCCTTCTGATCACCTTTGTGGCCCTCCTCTGAACTCACTCCAACAGGTCCACATCCTTCTTATGTTGAGAGTCCCAGAGGTGGAGACAATAGTCCAGATGGGGTTTTACCAGAGCAAAGGGGCAAAATTATCTCTCTTGACCTGCTGGTTACAGTTCTTTTCTATCTTCTCTATCATAAAAGGTCACTATGCTGGTTTGCAGACTTATGCTACCAGTACTCCAACACAGTAAGCTCTAGAAAGTCCTGTATTCTTTTCCTAAGAGGTTTAGCATTCACAAAAACTAATGTCAGTAGCACTGGAGACTGCAGTTCCCAGCTGCAGAAATAAATAGGTGATTATGTGCTGCTCTATATGCCTTAATCCTGACCTGATGCTTGTTAACACAAGATAGAGGAAAAAGCTTTACTCGGTGTTCAATAATTTTGTATATAACATTGTCGATTATTTTAGGGCACCATTAATGGAATTTAAGGTAGCAACATTTTGATGTGCTACAACTCAAATAACTGGAGTGCAACAAGGGATCCATTTTACATGGATCTTGAGGTACCCAGGAGAGAACTGTTCCTCCCCACCCTGCTGCATTTCCCGGGCTGGCATTAGCACATGGCTGAGCCCTCCTATCTGTCCTTTTCTTGGTTTTAATCACAATGGAGAAAGGAAACAGAAAAGCATAAAGTAGCTCTGACTACAAATCTTTCCCACAAGAATGTAATTTATGTTTTTCTTTCTTCAATCTGATCTCTTAATGCTGTGATACCATTAAGGAGACAAATCCTATGTGGGAAAAGAGATGTTAGATCACTCAAAATGAAGTCACAGAAAATCTCTACTAGTCCTGCTGAAAAGCATCAAGGCAGTGAAAGAGCTAAATTAAATTCTATACTGGGCTTCCTGGCATCACAGTACGTTCTGTTGCTGTCACTGGGCACTCGAGTGGCCTTTTGCTGAAACACTACAACAAAATTATCAAGATTAGGAAACTGGTGAAAAATGCAGTAAAACCATCAGACATTTTGAGTGAAGGAAGGAGGCTCATGAAAGCAGGCTGGAACAAATTTTGTGTTCTAGCTGAGGAGTACTTCTCAACCCACTTATCAGGCTAATGTTAATTACTTGAAAAACTGTTCTGTTGCACAGAATGGCAGGATTACTGATAGTACAGATAGCATAACAAGAAGCTTTGAAGAAAATAGAACAGACTTATCACATTAACATATTACTTGTTTAGCAAAACCAGCTAGATCTCAGGAGTTTTTCACATGGAACAAACACCAACTGTAGCCTGTTCCTTATTTCATGAGGAAAGCTTAGGCAAGTAAATACAACAGTACTATGAGAATAATGACTCTGCTTAAGAAAGAGTATATGTATATTTTTGTCTACTGTATTCAGGCACTGGGAAAAGCAAAGCATGATCACTTACTCCATCAGCGTAGCCCATCATCCACCCCAGAGTCCTGGCTTCTTGTTCCTGCTGCCTGGGCAAACCCAGTGATGCTGGTTTGCTCCTTGTCTGCCTGCTCCAGCTGCCTTGTACAAAACATCTGCTTCTCTCAGGGAAACTTGTGAAAGGGGTCATCAAGATCTCTGTGACATCTAAACTCAGTGCATGCTATATGCAGAGGTGAGGAAGGAGCAATTCCTAAGGGTGTACTTCCTACACTGCAAAATAATAAAGTATTTACACTAACTCCTGAGGAGGCTTGTACGGAAGGGGATGATGAATGAAAACAGCTGGGACTTGGTGCTCTTAAAACGTTCTCAGGCTAAATAGTGAGAGTGAAAGAACTACACAGGCAGAGCAATCTGCTGATGTTACGCCCTTATCTTCAGCGTAACACTGGTAGATTTCAACTTTGAAACACTCCTCTCGGTAACTCTCAAAGAATCCTGCTATATACGGTTGCAGTATTTTCTTCTATACTTGGAATAGCATCCTCTTTCTGAAGAAGAAATTCACGTAACCGCAACACAGAGGTAATGCAGGCAGCCTGCATTTTACTGCATAAGGAGGAGAAGGGATATACTCAAGTGTCTCTGCGATTGGAAAGCACTTTAATCGATAGGCTTTGAAATTTTTGCTGAGTTTTGCAGTGCTGGAGTAATCAGAAATGGAATTACTCTCCTAGCTCAAAGTGAAATTGTTAAAACCACTTTACACGCCACATCTTGCTGAAATGATTTTAGCTGGCAGCAAGTATTCAGTGTGGGTGAGGTCAGTGAAAACAAATTCCTGTTTTTGGAATGCCTGGAAAGACATCTGCAGATAGCATTGCACAACTGCTGCAGGTTTAGGGAAGACTCCAGAAATTTACTCTTTCATTCCCACTTTCTAAGTACTTATGAGCTGCTTGGATACAGTAGTTGAGTGAAAGAAACAGGTAATCTTGCACAGGGATATATTCCATTATTTCTTAGGAAGATAAAGTGAATGCTCCTTAGCAAAGAGATATTAATACAGCAATTTTTTCAAGTGTCAGAATGCCAGAGTCCTTCAGCTGACAAGAGATATGTTTTTATATTTTCAGAGACTCCGCCATAAATAATCTGATTAAATGGTTGCAGTACTTCTATTCTGCTTTTTTACTTAATGTACACCCTTCAATAATATCTGCATGATGAGAAAGAGTCCTTCTGAATTTTTAATCTCATTGTGACTGGCCAAAGTACCCATGGATGCCTGTAATTAAAAATCTGGAAATTAAATGTCCTGACCTGATAATATGCAATACAATTTTTGTCTATGACGTATCTCCTCACTCAGTTTCTCAGAATTAAAAGAGGCTGAGAGAACTAATAAGTAATTCCACTTTATTCCCTTTTGTTTCTTCAGTTGCTACAGGACACAGAAGAAGATCTTTTCATGCCCTACATACATTTTTATTTCTTAGGTAGTAAGACTGCACTTTAGGAATAAAATGTAACCTCAATATTTCTCTAGGAAAGCAAACTCAAAGAGTAAGATCTACTGCAGTATTTTCTAGTAGGACATGAAAACAGAAAACATTTAAAATGCATGACAAAACACAATTTTTGTGGCAAATATGCAAAACTGGGAAAATCTCTAACATCAGGCTTGGAAAGTGAGTGGGATTCAAGGAACTCTGAATTGTTTTCTTTATCTCAATCAGATTAGATACAGATGTTGTTTGAGGTTGTCTACACATGCAGGTAAATAATGATATGAGCCTAAAAATGTGGTTAGTATTTTCATGGTTATGTCTACAAATAGAAGGGATAGTAACACCTGAAAGCCTGTTGTGTATAATTCTGTACCAAGAAAAGCATTCTGCAGTCACACACTGCAAGCAACTGGTGAGTAAAAGGGTCTAGAAAGAAAGACATTTTTTACAATAGCTGGAGGTTGACAAAAAGAACGGGAATTTGATTTTCCAAATGAATTGAGGTTCTACCTCAAAGCCTTAACAGTAAGGAACCGTAGGTCCACTATGATATTTCAAAAATTTCTTAGTGATAGGGCAGTAAGAAGTGATATAATTAGAAACAGAAGCAACAAAAACACTCAAAGAGTTACATTATGGGAGAGGACACCTCATATCAGGAGGCAATGATCAACCACAACAGGGTTTCTAATTTACATTTTACTTTACCCATCTAAACTATGAGGGATGTTGCCTAATTTGCTGCATTAGCAACATTACCACTAAAAATCAAACCATAGTTTGCCACTATACACTAGTGATTCAAATAAAGCCAGACTGATTGACCTACCCTCTGGAAGATATGTGAACTGATCATACCTAATACTTCCCTACTTACTCAACACTTTCAGCAGAACAAACACAAAGGAAAAAAAGGCCCAGACACCCCCAATCAATAAATATCACTAATTTGAACCCCATTTGCTTAGGGAAATTCACTACGTATTTATTCATTAGCTTCATTGATCTGATATTCCAAACAAAATTATCTATCTATCGCCATGACTGTTTTATTTAGGAAACATTCAAAATTAAAACCCAGGGGAACAAAGTCTTTATAGGAACACAAAGCTAAGTGATAATGCAAATTAATTAATACACTGGGGCTGCACTTACTAACACATCTCAACTCAGTTGCAAATTACAGTGAGTTTGTAAGCTTCCTCCTTGTTCTTAGCAGGTTTCTGCTTCATTCATTTTAGAATTGTCACACAATTAACTCATGATTAATGGAAGAATGGAAGAGGGAGGAACTGCTAGTTGGGATATGTTGCAGGGAGAGACTCCTATCTTTGCCTGCTCCATTTTTTTCCTCATTATTTAAACATTTCTAACATTTCAACTGTGTGTGCACAGTACCTAGGCAAATAAAACTTGTAAGTTCTTTTTCTGGCACGGATTAGACTGTAAATTAGATGTAGCACAGCAAGGGATGACAAATACACAGAGAATACTAAGGAAGGAATATAGTAGAATGATGCTTATTATTCAAGACATGAGAACTCTGCAGATGCTTGTTCACATCTTTTTAGAACTCATTTTATTTTCGTCCGTTTTGTTTGCTAACACACTGAGCATCACTCAGCATGAGGACTAGACAGAGGTCATTGGTGCAATGCTAATCAGTAAATTTTGTGAGAGATGATTAAGGACCACTCCTAAAATCTATACAAAGTATTTAACAGTCTTAAGATTCAAGCCCCAGAAGCTGTCCTGTCATGACAGCAGAGGTGTCTGATTGCACTTACACTGTCACAAGACAAGAGGAAAAAGAATGTCCAGCTTTAACTGTACCGGTATGAGAAAACCAGTGACCACGTATAAACTGGTACAGAAGCACTCACTTGTTCTAAACATGCTGCCTGACACTCAAGACATTTATGAGAACACACAACAGGATCTTCATCAGAATGAAGACCAGGTGGTGTCAAAAATGAACTTGCAGAAACACCAAACTGTGATGCTGCTCTGTTATTTGCAGTGGCTCAATGCATGCTGCCTGAGTTTTTCACCTGCAGCATCCTGTCCACCCATCACAATTTATAAAGGCTGTTGTCAGCCTCTACCTTCCACAGCCACATAATTAGTTGAGATTGAAAAACCCCATTTTCTCAGACCAAAAGTAAAATGGCTTTAAAAAGGAATCACAGTGTAATGACAATGTGCAAACATTAACCCAAAAATAAATAAGCAATTCTCTTCCCAATTTGCAGCGTGACTCTGAGTCTGTCAAATGAGAGCTCAAATCTGTTAGAATCCCAGTTGGGGAGGGACCACAAGAGATGACTTCACTTCACTGAGGCAAGATAATGAAATACCAGACCCCCTTCTGAGAGAAGGGATAAATGAATAAGAAGAATAGGTGCTGGTGCAATATGCCAATCAGAAGGCAGTGTTGAAGTACTTGCTGTACCATACACAATGAAAAGAACTCTCCCACTGTGGCTCTTGGCAGAGAGTTAATGTAGGGGATCATGGAAGTTGGAAGGACTCAAGAGATATACTCAAGAATATTTGCTCCAGTAAAAACTGAATACTTCTGTAGTCCTATTTTTCTTCAGTAAAGGAAAAAAAGGGGTAGACTATGTCTGGTTTTACCAGAAATATGCTATTTAGAACAGCCTTTCAACAAGGCAGCAACTATAAATATTTTCTCTCTGTGCACCTTATTCAGTACATGTTTCAATCCACCGAAGTTAAGATAGGAAAAAATACGCTTGAATGAACATAGCAGATGAAGCCAGTACATCACTTCCCAGACAGGTCTGTAAAAACAGTCTAAGTGCTCTGAGACAGCTGAACAGTGGTGCCTAGTATTTTATTCATGGAAAAGCACCCTTAAGTTCAGGATATGTAATGAAACTCATCTGCAGTGCAGTACTTTATACTCACTGTAGGAAAGAACTAAAACATCCCTCTGTGGAACATAAATGTTTTGCAGTCTGCATGGGCTCTGAGGCTTCACTTTGGAACCCCTGCTTTAGAGCATTTAAACAATCTACACATTATGAATTACTAACTCAGGATGCAATGACTGTAATTCCCAGTAATGAACCCATAAGTTTCCAAGACACCAACAGTTTTGGTCTGGATGTTTTTTCCTTTCATTCGGGTTTACATTGTCTATTCTGTACATGAGATATTCTGCCTCCATAAAAATATCCACTGGCTGCTACTTTTCCTGCATAACCTGTGATTTTGATGAGCAATGAGAATGCTATTCTCTTCTGGGATAGCAACTGGGAAATGTATTTTTCCCCTTCCAACTTTTAACCCTGGTGCGCAGTCCCACAGCTACCTTTAACTAGTAAAATGTTTCCAGCGCACAGAGGGGAAATACGTTCCTTCATGCAAAGGAACAAAGGCTGTAGGCATATAAAGTTTTTTTTATGTTGCTGTAGGATAGGTGTCCTTGCTGCAGAGAGGTGGTCTCTGATAAGAGGTAAATGATTGAACTAGGACAGTAATCTTCAAGCCCTCAGGCAGTCCTGGTAGGTCAAACTTCAAGAGTGGTAGGAAGGCATGACAGAAACTCATGCACCTGCCCTAATAATACACAGAGGACTTTGTTTTCCAGCTCCATCAGATCTGGTATCAATAGGGAACATTAAAATCACACTGTAAACTGAAAACACAACACCTTCATACATTTATTTAACAGTTGTTTTGGCAGCACGCTACCGAAAAAAAACACCAAAATAACCTACAAAGGAATACTAAGCACTTGAGGAATGGAAAGGGAGCACACTAAGAGTGCATGCCATCTGGACAAGAAAGCTATTTGGCACCAATTTGTGGCTCCATCAGTTGATGAGCCTTTCACACTGAAGGCAGAATTCTTGCAGTGGTCTAAATTAAAGAACAAATGTACTCCCTGTTTGTTAAAGATGCAGTACGCTTAGCAGTATTCAATACAGTAGTTAGCACATTCATTAAAATTTGAAAACAGAATAAATGAAACTGAGTAAAAGCAATCTGAACACTTATGTTTTCAATCTATCAACTCACTCATGTTTCCCAGGGTTTGCCAGCAAATTCAGCTCAGATGCTCAAACTGCAAATTGCATAGTTTAGTTACGACACCTTGCATCACCAAGAGCTTGCTGCCTAGGTTTGGAAGTGTTGATCTTGATCTAAGATTCTAAAAATGGGCTTGTCATGTTCTGTTTTCTCTAGAGCAAGAGTACCGATAACCTGTCCTTCAAAGCACCAAGGGGTAATCTATAGGGAGCAGGCTTTCCGTCTAGTGTAACCTTGAGCTTGTATTTGAAGGCTACTTATCATAGAGGGCTATTTGCTCACTTTGTTGCTATTTTCAGGAAACACCACCACTTTTGCTTAAAGGGGAAGATACTCTTTTGTAACTTCATTGGCTCCAATGTGTGGTGAAAACCCTCATGAGGATTCAGCCACCTGATTTGTTCTGATGAATTCAGAGTATAAATTAAAAAGGAGACATCAGCATGCAATCCAAGAGGCAAAAGGCATTGCATAGCTTTGTTTTGCCAATAAACAAGCCCAAAATTTTCTATCACCTCTGTGGGTACAGAAGGCGTAAAAAGAAATCCTCCTCTTGCACCTCTGCATACACTGTCACAACAGGCCCTGCAGTCCTTTCCTTCCCAGAGTACAGAGGGATCTGTTCAGCTGTGGGTGACTGTGACTTAATGTGGCCCTCTGATGTGTATCACACTTTGTTCTCTAATCCCGTTTTCCCCATAGAACTTGTGTCTTACTGAACACCAGAAGGGAATGGCTCTGAAGATAACCAGAACTGTGCGGTGAAGACAATGCATTTCTTACAGAAGTATTATTCAGTATGTTTTATAAGTTAAAAGGTATTTAGTCAATGGAGAGAGAACACAGTGGAGGGAAGGATGCCTCAGTTAAGTATCTAAAAGCTGCTCTGTGGAACAGGACTCCTCTCTCCAACCAAGCCCCAGTGTAACCCCAGACAAGTCATTTCAGCCAGCAATCAGGCTTGTGAATCCCTGACATTAAGAGTGCTGGCTAGTCACACTAATAATTTAATATGAACTTCTGAACACTCATAGTGGCTACTGCAATCACTGGGATCTCTGCTTTGAATATTATATAAGGCTGTTAATCTCAAAAATGGCATCTCAGTTATTTCATATTGGGCATCCAAAACCTCAGTGGATCCAGAACAAATCAAAGGGTTTATTGCAGGAAGGTCTGAAAGAACACAGTGTTTCAGGAAGGCACGAACTATATTTTAAACAAAAATGGGAATGAAAAACGCTGAAAAGTTCTGCGTCTTACACTTGCTCACTTTAACAGCTAGATGAAACAAAATAGCTGTGATATATAGTAGTACACGGCTGTATATTTACGGACTGTACTGAATGTTTGTGGCAGGGAGAAAGAAATAAGCAGCAAAATTACCTCAATTCTAACTTCTCGATTATTTAAACTGGCAACGTTTGCAACGGTCTTTATAACATAATATATGAAAACAAACCCTGAAACTATGAATTTATTTGAGGGATGAAAAACGTATATATACCCTAGTCAGAGTAATTTTATTTTACATTGATTAGACTAAATCATAAAGCAATGGCTACAAACATATGGAGATTTTAATGATGGACCGCAACGAATTTTTCTTGTTTTTACAGTCAAAACAATCAATTTTTTATGATTATAAGCAGTTTTCATATAATAAACTGGTAACTGGGATATTGCTGGACTGGATAAAGAATATTTTAACCAGTGTGGACAAGGACAAAACCTGCCAAACCAAGTTGCAAGAAAAATCAGCTGAAGATGTATCACTTCTATCCTAAATTTCACTATCTCAGGAATCCCTGAACAAAACAGGAGAATAAGAAACTCCAGACTTGGATCTAGCAGGATGGCCAGCAATACAAGAAGCTGAAGTGGTCAGCTGAAGATTTCTTGAAGTGCTGCCACCTATACTTCTTGTATCAGTAAATAAACTTGAGCCAGAGGCTGATTCCACAGAACAACAGGAAACTAATTTGTCTATTTTTCTACCACTACCTGTTATAAAAGCAAAGCTAAAAACCGTGGAGGTGCGTGTGTGTGTGTGTGTGTGTGTATATATATATATATATATATATAAATACATGATATAGAAGAACCACAGACCCATCAAAGCAGTTCCTCAGTCTCTTCCTTAGTGAATAGTTAGACAAAGTGAAAAACTATAGTGCAATAACAGACAATAAAAGTAATCTCCCAAATAAAGCATCTTCACAGTAAATTTTTTCACGTCACTAGCCTGTCTATGATGATGGAGGACGAAGATTTGAAACACAGCACTAGTAATCTCAGTAAAAGCAGCCATTTCAGGACTTCTGCAGGTGTAACAGGCCCCCTACACATTCGTGCTTGAATTACCCTTTAACTACTGTAATGATTCATCCTTGTACCTCCTGAACGTGCTGAAGAAAGAGCAACTAAATGATAAATGTGTTAGCCCACACATTCTGGCCCTCACCTGGAGTTACATAGCCTGGAGGAGGAGAGCTAGCTAAGAAGAATAAATCACTGACTGAAATAGGCATGAAAAAGGAGGTGCTCTTTTGTATTTGGTAGGATGATCTAGGTAGTAAAAATCCTTAGTGCAGAACACTCACTGGATGGAGTAGGCAATCTACTGGTAACCTTTGTCAGCCTGGTTTTCTACCATTTATTCTTATGCATAGCCAGCTTTCTGCAGAGGGAGCTGGTAATGCAGGGAGTATGTACTGTGGGGCTGAGAGGTCTATCTCTGCAGCAGGTTCACAGAAATCCCTTTTGTTATTTTGAATTTTGGCCTCAGTCTGAATTGAACTGCAGGATACCAAAGATCTCTTCCAGCTTTAAATTTCCATGTATAAGCTCCAAAAGGTCCCCTGTTTTTTTACAGAAATGGTAAAAGGACATAATCCTTCCTCAGGGGCCATTTCTAGCATCTTGCATTAGAGAAAGGAGATTTGAAAGAGGAGCTCTCCCACAGGCCTTTCTCCTTACTGTTCTCATCAGGAAAATAAAAAAAAAAAATAAATTATACATCTCTAAAATTTCTCTCTTAGAATTAAGAACATTTTGACAAAGAAACTAAAAGCAAAGGCAATTCAAATAGCACATTTTATATTGCACTATTAAAACTGACATGCTCCCAGCTAGCCCAGTGATTCTTATTTATTCATCATATGGCCATAAGTTTTTTAAATGTAAACAAAAATAATGATGCTATCTGAGATGCAAATTGAAAATTAACGTTAGTCTGAGATGTTCTCCACTCATTTCGAAGGAGAGAGTAGGTTGAGTGAATCAACTTATTTGCTGGTTTGAAAGTAACTGAACAAGTCTTTTAAACACTCATCAAATAGAAGAGACAAGTCTATATTCTAACAGCAAATATTTAGAAAGCAGCACACAAACCTTGCACTATATAGGGAGCAGTCTCCTCTCTGACTGGTGAATATACTGGACGAGGGGCAGGGGCAGGGGCTGGCGGCCTGTTCACGATAAAAGACTTGACCTCAACTGGTATGAAATCATACACAGATTCATCCAGTATCCTGAAAGTGTACAGGTCTTCCCCCTCACTGTCTCTCTCGCATGTATCTTCTTTGTAGCATGCTGTTATAAGTCCATCACCATGTTGTCTTTCACTTCCGTCCTCCACAGACTTCCTCTCTGAAAAAGCGAGGACTTGTGTTCCACATATACAGTACAGAAAGGAGATCAGGACTTAACTTACAGCTTTAGAGTTTCCTAAAGTAACTTGAGACTTAATTTCACCTCTAAAGCGCTCGGATTTTCAGAGGCTTCTGATCATCTAAATCAGTAGAAAGGATGACCCAGAAGAATAATTCCAACCTCAGAGCATCCTCATGATTTTACATCAGATTATCAAAACCAGATTCTTAGCTATTAGCTCAAAGTAAATGGGCTTATTTAAAAGAAATATTGAGTGCCCCAGGTGCTCCCACCAGAGTCACACAAATATGTGCTTTAATGGTGAAGCCAATTAAGTGGTACCTGTGGCCCTCGGCATTCTGGAGTCAGGCTATTTGTTAACTGCTGCAACAATGACTTCAGAATTGAAAGTTATTCTAGCAAATGCTGGGGTTTGTCTTTCCTACATCTTAAGTGTCCCACATGGTTTTGAGGGTTTTACTAAGATGGAGTGCAAGACAAAGTGAAAAAAAGTTTAAAGAGCCCCATACAGGGCTCAAGGATGAAATTTATGACCTCTTATAACCTATGCTAAGACTATCCCCCCCACCAGTAACTCCTCTGACTCTCTGTACTTCCTACATTTTGTGTATTTCATAGTATAACTGCTCAGTACTTGCATTCCTTTTACATTTTACTGCATTAAAAGGAGTCAAGTTTCCCAATACTTGAGTTTGTTTTGATTTGTCTTTAAAACCCCCAAAACTGTGAAGAGTTAGAAACTATAACTGAGGCTGGTGTTCCCATAGATGTTTGTAACTTTCTTGTGCTGATTACCCATCTCTCCTGCAAAAACAGGAGCCTGGAATTCTTGCACTGAGTCATGTTTTCCTCATGTTGTAATCTACTGCCTGTGCATGTGTATCTGCTAAACTAGGCCGTGGTCACTACTAGGGTTTTCAATCCTTTGGCTGCTATTAAAAGAATTACTTTGTCTGTTTATGAATCATAGAACCCCACAGAGAGTCCCTTCCATAGGCTGGAAGGGACCTCAGGCATCATCTGATCCAACCTTTCTTGACAAAGCATGACCTTGACTAGATGTCCCAGTATCCTGTCCTGCCCAATCTTACACATGCCCAATGGTGGGGAGTCCACCACTTAATTCCCTGGGGAGGTTATTATGGGTTCAGAGGAACCAAACAGTCTTTGTAAGTGGGATATATTTATAAATGGGATGTGTTATTAATATGTCCAATCAATATGCATTCTGGTTAAGTCATAAAAACGTTTTAAAGCAGCAAATGGGATTAATACACCTGCCATATTTAATATTAAAAATATTCTGTTTCCATGTCACTATGGAAATTCTGTTCCTTGCTCTGCAGGATCCTCTTTCTTTTAACTCCCACATGGGGCACTGTCGTGTCACTGCCAAAACACAGGCTTCAGGAAGAGGTGACTTGCCTTTAGGTATTCCACGGCAACACTGAAAGCAGGTGGCCGATAAAACTAGGTAGCAATGACACATTAAAACTCCCCCTTGAAAGCAAGCCTCATCCTTATTTAGAGGAATTCTCATACCCTCCCCACCTTGCTCCCCAATGATGAAACCAAGGCTAATGCTTCAGAAAGCTTCACAACATGTTTTAAACAAACTATTCACACAGGAGTGTTTTTAGACAAACTCTGCCTTGCCAACTGCACTCAGCACAGGACATTATGTAGCCAAGAAGCTCTCTTAAGCTGGTACTCACATACAGATAGACAGCATTCGGCAGAGGGTCACATTACTTGATGGTAGAGCTATGAGAACTATTCCAAGACAGACATTTATTTCAAACCTACACTACCAAATCCTATATGCCAAACCTGAACCCTCATTTATGCACACATATAGCTGCAGTTGAGTATTTCATGGGAAGCAAAACACATCTTTAAAATTAATTTTATTCTTTCTTTCAGAATCCACCTATGACTTCCAGCTTTTTCTTTCACAGAGAAAACAGGACAAAACCCTACCTATAACAGACTGTAAGGCTAGAAAGCTATTTCTATCTACTTATGCGAACTTGGATGACTTCAGTGTGCTTCGTGATAGTAATTTAAGACTCTCTTAGGTTGTGCCACATTTAAAAACAGAGTTAACAGTAATAAGCAGTGGAGAAACTGAGAAGCAATTTGTGTGTGCACTTACCAGTAGTATCCAGGACAAATAAGAAGGGTTTATTTTCCCCTATGTGACTATTTAACACTGGTATTTAAGCTTGACTTCTTTTGCATATTTATTTTCCCAATGAGTAAAAAATGATAATCATCCCCTCTGAAAGAGAGGCAAATAGTATTTTGGGCTTCTCATCAGTTGAATCAAAATACAACACAATTTCAGGTTTTTACTCTGGGGCAGAAGGATGAAAAGAAAAAAGGGGGAAAAAAAAGAAGGCAAAGCATTTCATTGCAGGTCATAATTTCTCCCTCTCTTTTCAATCTGCAGCACAATATGGCTTTGTATTTATAACCACAACATTGGCTAAAATGTAATATACTGTTACTTCTCTATGCACACTTGCTTTAATTCTACCTGTGAAATTCCAAGCTGTATTAAATCAAGGTAGAATTTAATATCTTAAAATGGTAAATATTTAACTTGACAAAAATACAACCTGAATAGTTTGTTTCAGGCTACTTTGGAAAACCAGTGCATCATGCACGATATAGCAGCTCTCTGAGATGGGCCGAGTGAGGAAAACCTAAAACCTGAACCCAGCAGTGCATACTCCAGTATCAGCTGAGATGCCTGGTCATGAACATCTTGGTGCAGGAAAGCCCATATGCACTTGCCTGCTTTGCAGAACTAGGCCTGTATTGCCTAGCCACTGCTATTAGAAGTAACCATACATAACCTCTACAGCAGCACCTAGCCTGCATTTGCACATGTTTGTGCCTGGGGTTATTTTCTTCCCAAGGTCGTACCTTTTGATAAATCATTCTGTCTTAGGATGCCAGGCAGGTTTCAAGGGGGAGGAGGAGGCGGCCCCTTACAAAAAAAGCAGTCTCTTCTCTTCTCTTTGAGAACATCAGGTATGCTGGCATACAAATTGTCAGGACGGTTGTGAAAGCTGTATGAATCTTCTTGATCTTCATGTTCTGTCTCTCTGCTGTCTTCTATATCATCTTTCTTTTCCTCACCCACCTCAGCTTCTTGTTGGCATCTTGAGCCAATTCCATATTGATCTCCTGGGTTCTGCTTGGCTTTTAATGCTAAAGAATGCATTATTTCATTTAAAATTTGCCATCGGGAAACATTTCCTGTTTCAAGGATTCCACAGAAGCAACACAATTGCTAATAAAACTTTTATGAAATGATACTGTAGGAAAGCTGTCAAATACATAGTGTCAGTGAACAGCTTTTTAAATATGTACCAAATCAACAGTGGAAGTTTTTGTTGTATCTTGCTATTCTGACACACACCATCTTCGTGCATGTAGTGTTAAACTTCTCTAGAGCTGCTGTCAGTCTGAAATCACACACACTTAACTTGCTTTCAATGCAGCACAGTGCCACACTTAGTAAAACAAAGCTGTAGCTCACACAGCTGTGTAACTTGTTTTCATACAAGTGCTTATTTAAATCTCTCTAAAATTAAATAAACATTGCCCTGGGAGACATGGCTGTACTCCTGTGTAAATGAAGCTCTTGTGTCTTTAGTGGCCCATGGACCACAGAATAAGAACATAGCGTATGGATGGGAAAAGTTACATGAACAAAAGCACCCAGATTTGGATAGTCAACCTCAGTAACATAAAGTCCGCCACCAAACTTACAGTAAATGCAGAGCAAGTAATACCAACCCTTGATGCAGGTTTCCATTCTGATTTATCTTTTGGTGATGCCTTTCCTTCACCACTGATTCAAATGGGAGGTTAGCGTATTCAGCTGGCTAACACAGTCAGCTGTTATAATCTGTGGTGGTCTTCCCTGTGCTCACCCTGAGGTGTTCCCATAGAAAGCCTGACAGAGGCAGTGAAAACGTATCAGGGCTAAAGCAACAAGTTTAAACTCAGCAAATAAGAAATAACCTTTTTATATAGAATGTGAGACATTGTTAACAAGCAGATAAGATAGAAACAGGATAAAGTTTATCTTTATGATCCATGGTATCATAAAACATACGCAAAATACACGGCATCAGTAAATGCAAAAATGCAATTTCATTTGCAATCTTCAAGGGGAATTCATATGACCACACAGATTGTTAATAAGCTTCTAATCAATTTATGCTTAGATGTATGAACATCACACTGCAAAATGTGCCTCCACATAGGTGCTGGCTGCACCTGTGGGCAGTGCCTCCCCTCTCTGAGAACTCGGAGAATTCAGCTCTTTTCTACACACAGAGATCACAGATTTCCAGAATCCACACGGAGGGGTGGTGGCTGCACTGAGGTCTAACTGACCAATGACTTTGTTACCATGACTGAATCCCTCACCTTTCTTCTCCCTTCTCCTAGGACATCTGCACTCTCTGGAAGCTGCAGTAACATGTGGAAATGGAAAGTAATGTGCCTCCTCTGTTTGTCCATAATCCCACTCATTTAATACAGTGCATGCTTTGCTACTGATAAAGCAGTCTAACAACATGACTTACTCATGGCAGGTTGAGTTTCTGAGCCTAGCATAACCACGTAAGTGTCATCGTCTTCTGCTTCCACCTTGCAATTGGTGAAATTGTCTGCTGTATTAATCTAGAAAGAAAAACAAAGGAGAACATTTGCTTTGATCTCATCATCTCCTATCTTCACACCCTGCAGGACCCACTGCAAACAGTTCCTGTACCCTTGTGGTTGGTACCAAAACCTGCATGTGCACTGAAAAACCAGAAAAGGGACTGCAAAGTATGGTAGTGGTTCTCCCTCAGTACCCCAAAGTGGCAAAGCATTGGGTTTTGCTCACCTAGAAAGGTTTTTAGGTTCACACAGGGCTATTTTAAATCAGCCTGGTGAAGGTCAGAACGCTTGGTTCTCTACAATGTTACCAAGTTATTTCTTCAAGCAGAAGAGGAACAAACTTCTGCTCACTCCTAGCTACTAAGAGCAAACTTGCAACATACATAGGTACAGACAGTTCTGCCGTCTTGAAATACGTATCACACACTTGTCAACTGCTGATTTTCAGAAAGAACTGGCATTTCAAAAGGTACCTTTTTTTTCCAAAGAACTCAGCAGGCACTTCATTCCCATGTAAGGGTAATATTAAACACTCCTGCATAGGCACAATGGAGCCCTCAATAATTGTTCAGGAATTTTGAATGACAAAATGTCAGGTCTGGGAGTCTGAATACACCACCCCAAAGCAGGCAGGGAAACGCAGTATGTATCATCCAGTCTGCAAGATTAATTACAAGCAGATTAGTGGACAGTGAAGTCAAGAGGAAGAACTGAGACCCTTCTGCATGCACAGAAACTGACTCCTATGAGCTCATGCCATACTTGACATTCATTCCTAGTATCCTGCTGCCTCCTGGGACACTGCACCACTGTCTGAGTCACAGAGTTCACATTGTGTGAAAGGGGAAAACATTTGGAGAAATGGTGGTGTTTTCTGGGGAACCAAAAATGCCTACTTCCCTGCGGTTTCTGTACACAGCCACCTCATGAATACTGGTCTTCAAGGCATCGCAGCCATCAGACATCCCCCTGACCCACTTTGTTTTGCTGCTTTAAGAAGGTACCTGGATTTCTACATATTTATACCTGCCTCCAACAATGAAGTATTAATTTCTGTCTTCTATGCCCATATAATGTGCACATCAGAGACTCTTGTTTTGCTTGTACTTCTTCATCATTTCTCTGGTTCCTCTGTACCTCACAGATGTAGGATACCTTTTAACAGCCTTGAAGTTAGAGCTTTTCAGAATATTTATTTTCAAAAGATTTAGGCCTGCATGTGCTAAATGTAACTGCACAGTTGGGAGAAAAATGGGTTTCATGAAAAGTTATGTATTTCTCCTCAGAAGATGGGTGCAGAAGCAATAAAGCAAGCAGAACTCTAGATGCATTAAAGCTGTCCCCCTATTACAGTGGAGTACCACACCAGAGAAATTCTTTCAAGGTGCTCACTTTTATCTTTGCAAACACAAAGTATGGATGGATAGACAGTTAGTAGAATGAGGTCAAAAGGGTAAGTGGAGGAAACAACTGGCACTTTCTGGTTTTCTTCATTGGCAAAGATATTTCTCAACTGAAGGAAACCTGGTGACTCACAGAAAAACAACAGAATAGATATGATTAATATCTATCTACCTTTGAAACGTCAGTGTTTCAGAAGACTGAGGATCAGCCTGCCTTGCTAGCTTATAGTAGCTCCACAGATAATGCTGAATCTTCGAAGATTTCCTAGAATTCAGGATGCAGTTCAGAAGTTTAGCCACTGACTACACTTCCTAAATGTCTCCTGGACCTTGGAGACACAGAAAAGCTGAATAGATGGAAATAGTCTTTAACTAAATATGTTCAGGCTAGAAAAAAAAGATTCTGTATAATGCACAGATTATTGATAAAAGCCTCCTCTGACACTGGGAATGGTGATACCATGCAGCTGAAAATGGTGCAGTGTCTCCAAAGGCAGTGGAGAGTGTCCTTATTTAAGAATGCAAAGCAATGTAGCTGAATCAGAATAATGCTGTTACTGAGATGGCAAAACTTGCCATGATGCCCTAAACTAATGCCCATTACTTTTAGGTTTAGAGTGTCTGGGCCGGGTCACATAATTTTAATGTAATAGCATAGCTAGCATGATGTTTCTGTAGCAGAATTTAGGATGTAGTGTACAATATCCATGCAGACCTGAACTTTAAAGTCTTTTGAGTCTGGCTGAATATGGTTCTTTGATGTACTCAGAGATTTCTTACAGATGTCAAGACAGTTTCCAAAGGAAGAACTAACTTTATTAGAAACCACTCTTACAAAAAGGTATAAAAAAGCTGCTATTGTCAGCACAGAACTGCTCACAACAGACTATGGAAAAGGGCTCTGAAGTTTTGAAACTCTAGTTTGTGAGTTAGCAATAAAATTTCCTTACCTCAAAATGCAACAGGAATGTTGGAATGAATTGAAAGTCCTCTGAAAGTGTGATGATGTTTAAAGTCCCAAGATAAAATGCCACCTCTCAACATCAAAAGGTAGATACTTCATTTTCTGTCAGAAATTTTAACTGTCTTTCAAAAAGGCCGAGTTTTTGAATAGCTTCAAAGCTATCCCTCTTATGCAAAGTCTGAACCAATTTACCTGTCATTTACTCAGGAATGCCATTAGCAAAATTATTATAAACATCCTGTTAGCATTTTTTGCAATGCCCTTCTGAAAAGCCATCCTTCTTAAGGCATGTTTTCTAAAGATTTCCTCCTTCTCATACAAAGGATTTTGTTACCCATCAAAACCATTTCTCTCCAGTGAATCCTTTACCAAGAGGGAACCCTTCCCCATGGTAAGGGCCCATACCACTGAAATGTGGTGCTTTGTACCTTCTTGTACAGCAAGGATGGAAATGTGAAAGAATTCAGAGGAATCTAACCCAACAGTGATATTGTATCCAGTTACAGCAAAAGTGAGGAGCAGCTGGACATCAGCACTTCATTAAAAACTGTAACTCACAGGTAAGTATATCAATTGCAGCTCACATAAGTCTTTATATATAAAATATAAATGGATATACATATACATCCATACCTTATGCTCCCAGAAACAAAGTAACACAGAAGTCCTTGTGGGAGATTCCTCAACAGCTTTCAAACTGGGACAATGCTTAGGGCAATAATTCACTAATTCATGTGATTCTTATGTGATTGATCCCACTGTTTTCCAATTCTCTCTATATTAGTTGCCATTTTCATCCAGAAAATTGGCCCCTAACAAGCTGAAATTCAATTGTGTGTATATATGTATATCTCTCTATCTTTTTTACACTGAATAATTACCTCCCTTGTGACTCTAAATTCAGACTCACATCTCCATTTCATCTTATTGTGCTGGTATTTCTTAAAATAAAGAAATAAATAAATGTATGTAACAGAGACTTCCATGTTTGTGTTGCAATTTAGGAAATCACTCTATCTCCTACCTCCTCAGTTTTTCTGGATTGCCGCAATAGAAAAACTGCTGGAGAAAAAAAATTCTTACCATTGCTTGTAAAATTTTCACTGATCCTTTTGACAAGACATTCTCTTTAGTTAGGCCTGAGTTAAAAAAAGAATTTTTATTCCTATGGAAGTTAGTCCCTGATGTGATATAGGGTAGTTTACAGAAGTGCACTGGAATATTTACAGTATTGTATGGACTAACAAGGAGTTGCTTGTTCAGGCTTAAATATCAAGCAGTAAAATGCTGACATGGATTTGACAGTTTTGTGTCTCTGTCTTGACAAACCTGTCACCCTTTCTGTGGATTATCCTCTAGTTTCTTGCAGACTTTGCCTTCACAAGTCACAGCTCTGTGCTGTCCAGTGTTCAGTGCCATTGTACTGGTAACTCTCATGCTGTCTTGGCAAACTCTAAGTCTGAACGAGGCACATTACTGCAGAGCCACTTACAATGCTAAATGACATGCATACATAATATTCTGTGGAGCTCTTCAGTGAATCTTAAATACTGAAACTTAACACTATTTTCTTCCCTACATGTAAGTCAGACTCTGCCAGGTGTACCACGGTATACTTTGCAGCATTCTCCCTAGACACCTTCTGCTACAGGATGAAATGATGTTTTTGCATCCTGTGTATAAGATGCCTGAAGAACATCATGTGTTCCTTCCTTGAGACAAGATTTTCTTTCCCAAAAGTCAGTGCGTTACTGGCTGAGCTAGGTGATTCCCTTCTTTTCGGTACAAATTATTTTTCTTGTAGCCAGTATACCAAGCAGGATAGCACAAACAAGGCAGCTCCCTGCAGCCCACACCTAAATTTTAATCTTAATTCTGATTCAATTTTCACACATCAGTCAGTTCACCTGCCTACCAGTTTTCTTCATTATGCCTTTTTCTGGGAGAAGCAAGACTTTGAACACCAGTTTAAACTAAAGGTGCTGCCTTTAATTTGTTTAGGATAAAGACTATCTGATCTTCTGAACTCCAGGGCTTTTCCAGCTGCTTGTGGGAAACCATTCAAGCTTGCTATCAGACATCTCAAAAGATTATCCCGTCACACTAAGGCCTGTTTTTTCAGAGCTGAGATGGATCTGTTTGCTTGATTTGTTTATAACATGTCACCACAACATTTCTTCTTATTGCACTCCCAATATTCAAGTCTGCAGCTCTGCCAAGAGAAGCTTTGCTCATTCATCTGTCTCCCACTACTCTATGGCTCATGATTTCCAATCAGAAGACAACCTTGGTATGCCTGTCCTACAGACACAGCTTTAGGCATCTTCTTCTGACTATTAAGCAACAAGATAATCCTTGGACACTGAGAAACAAGTTGCCAAATGATGGTTAAAGCTATCACAGTCTATATGGGCTTGCTAGAAAGGCTGCGAGGGCACATAAAGCCTGGATGCAATTACAGTAGTGCTTTTAGAATTATCTGATACCAACTATGCAGGTACGTGGATGTCTTTGTCTCTGGGGTCAGAGCGTCCTAAAGAAACTATCACTATTTTCTCTAAATATAATTATAAAAGAAAACCAAGTGGATGTGTACTCATTTGCACTTATACTTCCAGTCTTTTCTTCCTTTTTTCTCTTCAGTGCAGACC